ATAAATTCTTCCATCTCCCGAAAGAGGCATCCCCGAGCTAACCAGCTATTTAACGCAGTTTTGTCAACAAAATTCTGGGCTAGGTCATAGGGTTGTCTGCCGTAGAGTGTGTTTTGAACTCACGATTGCTTAAGTGTCTATGCATTTTATATGTTCTGTCTTGTCCATATGATGCAAATGTAAGTTTAATGGTGATTTTATTTGAGTCTGCTAGACTTATTGCTTTATGTAACTGTGATGTTTCTTGCTTTTGTAGAAAAACTCTCGCAATGCTCTTGTAGTGAAGGTTTACTATATCAATCAGACCACGTCCGCCATCTTTATGTGGAAGGATTAATCTTTCTATGGCAGATTTAAGATGACGTTGTTTATGCTTAGTAAGTGTTGTTCTTGTTTTCATTTGGAGTTGCTCAAGATCTGTGCGAGTCCAATGTATAACTCCAAAAGAATAAGTAAGTACTGGGACGACATATGTGTTTATTGCTTTAACATCATTTTATTTCATCAGTGAATGAAATACAAGCATAAGAAACACAACAACTGCGATAAAAATATATAAATAAAACTTCAAATTAATAGAATATGTAAAAGTTCACGTCACACCTTTCACCTTGTGACGGCACACCAGTGTGTCGCGGTACACCGGTCGCGGAACACTGCTATAAGTTATTACTTGTAAATTAAAGAACGATTACTACTTGCTAATAGTTGCCAACAAAAACTTGAAATACAATTGAATGAAACATTGTACTGGAAGCCTCTATAATCATTATCTATTCAAGAATTTTCGAAATTCTGTTATGGGATGAGATATTACACAAAACACAAGTGGCTCACCAGTGGCCGAGTGAATGAAATCATTGAACACTGACAATTGGTCGTGGGTTCGCTCCTGGCCACGCGCGAACGCGGAGTTTTTCAGGTTTTCTTCACATTAGTAACATCTAAATAGGGGTCAGTTCCCCTAAAAGGCTTCCTGAAGGCATCCCCCTTAGTAGATCACGTTTTCCTGTAATACAGAAACTTTCATACAAAAAATATGATCTAATTATTAACATCGAAATACAATAAAAAGTACGACTATTACCTGCAGATAAAAGAACAGAAGCCAGAACGAAATATAACTGATGAAAGTATCAGAATCACTTATTTTACGTCGCTATTATTGCTACTAAAATTTTCGAGATGCACATAATTAATGAGATATTAGATAAAGCACGGTTTTTAAAACTGTTTTCGCCCTGTGGGCACTCAGACGGCCTTTCGTAGCAAGTCCGACATATCTGGACAGACCATCCTCCGAAAAATTTCTGGATTTTTTGACCTATCTGGATAAACCCCGTGTCACCAAAGTGGAACCGATTTATTCTGTTTTGTTATTGCACTCAATGGAAACTCGTATGCTCACTCGACTCATTACATTCAATCGGTCAATCGTAATAATTCGTTTGGAATTTTTATATTTGGCTAACTTTTCGTATATTTTCCAGATATTTTGAATGCATTCTACCCATTGTGCCAGGAAGAAAATTAGGCGATAATGGCTGAAAAAGGCAAAGAAAAAGCATTTCTTTGTATATGAAACGAAAAGTATTACAATTGGAAGCTGGTGAGCATCAAATCAATATGGATGCTTCTTTTATTTTGGCAATAAGAACAATTCTAAAAATACAGATAAAAACTTCAGTTATAACAAGCTCACGTTTCTTTTTTTCGCAACATGCAAGTTTAAAAAGCCATTTATTTAAAGAAATGGGAAAATGCTTAGTATTTGAGTATATGAACAAACTCAATAATTAATAGTTATAAAAAGGATAAAAGCCATTTTCAATGATATTTATAAAGAAACCAGAGATAAGTCAGAAAAATCTATAGCTATCAGAAGTTGATTTGATACATTTCAGGAAAGAAATAAATCTTTGTAACACGTGTATAACCGGATGGCCGAATCATTAATAAAATACAAGATTATAAAGAATAATATATCATTTAAATAAATTTATTATATTTTTTAGGGAGGATTATCGACGAAACAAGAAATGTGTCTGGCATTTTTTGGTTATTATCCAAGATTAAACATATCCTATTTAACTAGTTGCCCGTCACCCTACAATATTGTGACAAAACTCGGAGTCAAAGAAATGTCAGAGTAAGTTAAATATCTTAATATAGTTGAATCACTATTCACTTTTTCTTTCTGATAATGTATAAATACAATAATATGTATCAAGAAATGGTAAAATTTCAGAAGTTTACAATGGAAATAGATCTGTAATTTAGATTTACTCTTTATTTTAAACACTAGTAAAAGTAACATTTTATTTATTCTATAACTTTTAATTTTTAAGTCTTATTTTATTCAGATTTTTATACATTACAGTCAATTTATTTTCACAAAGCAAATCGTAAATTCGAGAGAAATAAAAACGCTTTAATAAATTTTAATTTATTCTAAATTTTACTAAATTCATCGACTTAACAGTTAAATTTGTAAGCTCTATTGCTTATGTTATATTGATTATTTTAATGATCTTGAAAATTTTCTCCCTTTAAATCGACCAATTTAATATGGAATATTTCTTGTTTAATTTAATAAATATTTCAAAATATTTAAGTTTTAATTTAATATTAATTGGCACAAACACCGAATTTGAATAATGAAAGTTTATTGACATGAGTTATTTTTTCAGTGATGACAGATTCGTTATTTCACCATTAACTGGAAAGAATCAGAGTTATTACGAGTTTCTGAATACTTATCCATGGGATTATCAATCTGTAAATTCTGTACAGAATGCAATGAGATACGGTCCTCAAATAAATATTTGCGCTGATAGAGGAGGAAAAGGAATACTGGTAATTTAATTTCGTATTTAGTGTTTTAACTTAAGATTTGTGGCTCTAGTTCTTGTTTGGATTGGTAATTTTACAACAATCTTTTTAATTCTACACTGTCTTTAAATTTGCCATAATTCCGTTTTATATATTTCGTTGCTGGTTTTTAGATTTTCACATACAACTCTTCGATTTTCCTTGTTAAATCGTCAAATCTGAACGTGTGATCAATCTTTTTTCTTATCACATTTAATATGCAGATTAATTAAGTATTATGTATTTCATACATATATATATATATATTAGTTTTTGAGATTAAAATTAATTCGTAGTTATTATTATTTTCAGACTTTTGTTCTATCCAAATATCCTAAAGTGAAGAAGATTCACGAAGAAAAGTACAAATGTAGAAGTAATAAGTAAATGAAATTTATATCTCGTAACATCGCCCGCATGCTTATGTGTGATTCTTAAGGAAATATAAAAGTATGATTAACGATTGAGATTAAAATTTTCACAAAATTACTACATTAATTAACTCATAAATAAACAAATTCCATCGAAACGAAGTGTGTAACAGAAGAATGCGGCTTGAATTTATAATAAATAAATTTAACTTTTTCAAATTTGGAAAAATATAATAGAATTGCAATAATAATAATAAAAATTCATTTAATGTTACAAATAAAGTAAATAATTTATGAAGATATATGAATCCACGTATAGATTTCGATTTAGCTATTCGTTCTATATTGATATATTGATACAATCGAATCTACATTTACGCCAGGGTTTTCTTTTCCGGAATCGTCGCTTATACGATTCTTTCAAATACTAGAAAATCACAGTAAATCATACAATATTCTCCATAAACTTCATAAAATAATTATTAAATAAAATGTTTTGCAGGAGTATTAAATGGATACTTATTATAGCGAGATAGAAGCCGAAGTTTTAAGCGAAAACGTGTACGTCAAACTGAACGTCCGACGTACACGTCGCTTTCCTGAAAGCCTAGAAGTTTGACAATGGTGTTTGGATAGTCAACAGAATCATGCTCGACATTTCAAACACCATTGTCAAACTTCTAGGCTTACAGGAAAGCGGCGCTAAACGTCCGACGTACACGTTTTCGCGTTTAAAACTTCGGCCTCAACCTCGCTAATAATCGTGTTAAAAAGAAAAATATTCTGAAGAAGCGATGTTTAGAAACTAAACTGACTAAATAGGAAATGAAAACTCGTTGAAATTAAAAGTGGAACTCGAGCTAATGTACTGAATTATTATTTTATGCTGTAGTTTAATAAAAGATTTATAATGACTAAATAATTCTTGATTTTACTCTCACTACAATCCAGAACTTAGTGAGAATTATTTCGCGAAAATTTAAATTCCAATCGAAAAAAGTAAAAAAAAAATACACGAATTGCATACATTAGAATTTGTATAAACATGACTTCTGTGAATTTAAAGTCGAGCCAATTCTATACCATTGCAGCTCCTATGTTTTCGGAAGAGTATCTGAATGGTTCATTTTAAATTATACAAATTACAAAAACCCGAAACTCTAATATTAACAAACTATCTTCCAGATTTTTATAGGGCTACATTAAACCTATTTAACAGTTGCAGAAATTGAAAATAATAATAATCAAGCTTTCACGAAATTCTCTTCGTTTGGATTTGACTCTTTTCAAATCTAATGTATAGTTAAAAATTCTAATTTGTTTTCTTAAATTCTTGAAGTTTCTCTGTGAAAGCATTATTTATGTAGCATACAAATTTTTATAATAACAATAATAACAATAACAATTCTTAAAATATTTTAAGAATTGATTCCTTCACAAATTGTAGAATATATCGCCTATTATCGAAATAATGATAATCGTGTATAACAGGAATTCCAATGGCATAAGCAATTCAGAATTTTGTTCAATTTCGCTGATATATATTTCTTTAGATGGTTTTAAATGGAATTATTTTAATTACGATTATTCTTTTAGTTTTTGTAATGTTGAGATAAGGCAATGCAACACGCAAGCGATCTGTTAAGGAGAGCTCTTCCCGTAAGGGCTTTCTACGGAAAACTGGGCTTTTATTTAGGTGTTAAACATGTAAAGGAAACCCAAAAACCGGTGCCTCTAGCCATTTATTCAGGCACCAACCACGAGCAGTAATTGATGGTTTGATCCATTTGGCTACATTCTATGTTATATATATGTTACGGTTATATAAAGTAATATAAAGTTTTGTATAAAGTTATACAAACTTTGATGAAGAATTAAAATTTATATAATTCACTTAACGCACTCAAACTTGTATTTAACCCTTCATTTTTATCATTACCGTATTTATTAGAGAGGTTGCGGCCGACGTTTTCATCGCGAAAACATGTACGTTGGACGTTCAGCGCCGCCTTCCTGTAAGTCTAGAAGTTTGACAATGGCATTTGGAACGTCAGTGGAATCATGCTCGACGTACCAAACGCTATTGTCAAACTTCTAAGCTTACAGGAAGGCGGCGCTGAACGTCCAACGTACACGTTTTCGCGATGAAAACGTCGGCCGCAACCTCTATTATTACAGTGAACCTCGTTAAATGGAATTGTGTTAATTCAAAGCTGTCTATACGTCCTGGACACAGTATATAGGGTTTTCGATATAATCGGATTTTGTTAAGTCGAAATTGTCGACACTTTTAACGCAAACCGATTTTCCTGTAAAATCCTCTACCCTTTGATAGATCCGTAATCTTCTTTTACATTTTCTCTTAATCATCTGTATTTACACTAAATGTAAGATAAAGAAACATACCGTACATACCACGCCTGTTATGTAATAAATGATCTTTATGTTTATGCTTCTCGTTTTTGTTAAAAAGAGACAGGACAAACTTTGCTTCGAACTAACGTTCATCAAACGCTCTCGTTCTCATCTCGTCTTTTCTCACGAGAGTTATGAGACATTTATTAATAATTTAAGTAATTACAATTGTAGAAAAAATGTATAAAAAACTAGATAAATTAAATTATGGAGTATTTAAACAATAATAAATTTGTAAAACATAAATATGAGAAAATAACAAAAATCATAATATCCGCGGGGTGGCGACATCCATCACCCCACCATCCAACGCCATTACAACCTTTCCTCTACATACTTTTACTGATACAGTATGTTACCATTGTTCTGATTGGGGCACATACCTTGAAAACGCCCTCAAAAATGCCATAAACTGCATACCAGTTTTTAATCAGTGTAATGTGAACAGATTCTTGAAAAACGGTTCGATAACAAGAAATTTACGGCCACGGAAAATTTGAGAAAATCGGGTATTAAACCCATTAACTCGAAATTCTTTAACTCGAAGACCGGATTCTGTACATCAAAAGTGAAAAGTTTGGAATTATTAATAATTGAATAGTTCCTCATAGATATCAATAACCACAGAACATAACTTATATGACTGGAATAAACATAGAAATAATATATAAAGTTATTTAAAATATGAAACAGTAATTTCTATTCCAGAAGCAAAATAAATATTGATGTCAATGTCTGCTGTACGTTTCCATTTCAAAAGATGTATTTGTTTTAAAATATTAATTAATTTAACATAAAATAAATTTAGTTTGCGAATTTAAATCAAAATTCTTTAATAAATTTAATGTTTAAAAAAAATGCTTGTAATTTAATTCTAAAATATTACTCTATGCATATTAATTATTCATACTCAAAGATGCATACAAAAGTAAAATAATCTCAAAAATAATGTCTCAAAATTCTGTTATAATTCGTCTACGTTAAGTTGACACAGGAGGCGAAACATTAAGCGGCATTTATTTATTACTTTTACATTTATAAGTTTGTTTGTGAACCTTCTGTACTTTCGGATATCTAGCTAAAATGAGAGACTAAAAAAGAAAAAAAATACTAATTAATTTTATTTCAGTAAGTTTAAGCAGTTTTAAGATATAAAATTTAAATACCGTTAATATATTTCCACTGCCAGGACAGAAATTCAGTTGAGGACCATACCTCATTGCATTCTGTACAGAGCTCACAGATTGATAATCCCATGGATAAGCATTCAGAAACTCGTAATAACTCTGATTCTTTCCAGTTGATGGTGAGATGACGAATCTATCATCACTGAAAAAATAAACGTATCAATGAACTTCTATTGATTACAGTTCAATTATTCAAATTCAGTGTTTATGGTTTAATATATTTTTTATTTTCGCATATTTTTATATAAAAAGGCCAATAGTCTAATAGAGCTTATAGAACACTAAAAAGTGTTTCAGCTTTTAAAATACACCAAAAATTTTCTTAACTTTTGTACTGGTGTTGCATGACACACAAGACATGCAAAAAGTGATAATTACTAAGTACCACTGTGCTGCCCCTTAAGGTTTCTAGTTTAATATACTGAAATTGCTTACAAATTATTTTTACATAGGCGCGAAAATATGAATATTTATGAATTTCGTGGAAGTGGTTAATCTAATCCCGCTCCACGGTAATCAAATATTAGAACTTGCTGAGACAAAAATAGCACTATCTATGTATAATAATTAATTAACCGCGTTCTGTCTCTATCATTTGATTATCAGTACAATAGTGCCTCGTACTCCGAATTTAATTCGTTTCAGAAGACCGTTCGAACTCCGAATAGATCGGAATCCGGACCAAATTTTCGGTTATAAATAGTGGAAAGTGAATTAACCACGTGAATGTTAATTTTTTGTAATTCACCTAACCACTCAAAAAGAATGCCTTTAATATCATTTGATATGGTAGAATAGCAGGTTAATATATATCCTAAAACTTGCTTACAATTAAAATAAATACTGCTAATCATGATCAATCTCATTTGCCATAATTTTGGATTTATTGATGCCATTATCTTCATATCCTAAAACTATTTCTGTGTTTTTATTATAAATTAATCCTTTGTTAATGTACATTTTATCTAGTGATAATGAACAAGCTATGCTTGGAAAGTTCTCTAATTTTTTCTGCACTAACACGATAATGTTTTTATTAACTCCTGGTTTTAAATTAAAATTTCCTAAAATACTATGGAGGGTTTTTGTAGATGGTAAATAATTTAATTATACTAATATAATTACAATTATATAATATATAATTAATTATTTAATTTATAAATTATATATTTTTTCACTTTAGTTTAGATTGTTGTAATGGGAGTGGCAAACAATGTTCGTGAGACATTGCCAAATTTAATGTAGGCCTAATAAATAAATAAATAAATTTTATTTTACAATTTAATATATTAATAATTATAATTTTCTATTCTTACTAATTTCTTTTAATTTGTTTATAAAATTTCAAAACTTTGCATGCAGGTCATGAAATAATACTAGTTTACTGCACTTGCTGCTAGGGATTACCACAGTGCCACACGCACTTAGCGCACCAATTTTGCTATTGTCGTGTCTCATCTGGGTGTTAATCTGTGGTATCACTGTATAATTCGGACTCGGATTTCTATATGAATTGTTTAGTAGTGTTCTATCTTAGACATTCTTCCATATTTAAGAATAAGCATCTTACTCTGACATTTCTTTAACGCCGAGTCTTTTCACAATATTGTATGGTGATGGACAAGTACATACTTTTACTGATACAGTATGTTACCATTGTTCTGATTGGGGCACATACCTTGAAAACGCCCTCAAAAATGCCATAAACTGCATACCAGTTTTTAATCAGTGTAATGTGAACAGATTCTTGAAAAACGGTTCGATAACAAGAAATTTACGGCCACGGAAAATTTGAGAAAATCGGGTATTAAACCCATTAACTCGAAATTCTTTAACTCGAAGACCGGATTCTGTACATCAAAAGTGAAAAGTTTGGAATTATTAATAATTGAATAGTTCCTCATAGATATCAATAACCACAGAACATAACTTATATGACTGGAATAAACATAGAAATAATATATAAAGTTATTTAAAATATGAAACAGTAATTTCTATTCCAGAAGCAAAATAAATATTGATGTCAATGTCTGCTGTACGTTTCCATTTCAAAAGATGTATTTGTTTTAAAATATTAATTAATTTAACATAAAATAAATTTAGTTTGCGAATTTAAATCAAAATTCTTTAATAAATTTAATGTTTAAAAAAAATGCTTGTAATTTAATTCTAAAATATTACTCTATGCATATTAATTATTCATACTCAAAGATGCATACAAAAGTAAAATAATCTCAAAAATAATGTCTCAAAATTCTGTTATAATTCGTCTACGTTAAGTTGACACAGGAGGCGAAACATTAAGCGGCATTTATTTATTACTTTTACATTTATAAGTTTGTTTATGAACCTTCTGTACTTTCGGATATCTAGCTAAAATGAGAGACTAAAAAAGAAAAAAAATACTAATTAATTTTATTTCAGTAAGTTTAAGCAGTTTTAAGATATAAAATTTAAATACCGTTAATATATTTCCACTGCCAGGACAGAAATTCAGTTGAGGACCATACCTCATTGCATTCTGTACAGAGCTCACAGATTGATAATCCCATGGATAAGCATTCAGAAACTCGTAATAACTCTGATTCTTTCCAGTTGATGGTGAGATGACGAATCTATCATCACTGAAAAAATAAACGTATCAATGAACTTCTATTGATTACAGTTCAATTATTCAAATTCAGTGTTTATGGTTTAATATATTTTTTATTTTCGCATATTTTTATATAAAAAGGCCAATAGTCTAATAGAGCTTATAGAACACTAAAAAGTGTTTCAGCTTTTAAAATACACCAAAAATTTTCTTAACTTTTGTACTGGTGTTGCATGACACACAAGACATGCAAAAAGTGATAATTACTAAGTACCACTGTGCTGCCCCTTAAGGTTTCTAGTTTAATATACTGAAATTGCTTACAAATTATTTTTACATAGGCGCGAAAATATGAATATTTATGAATTTCGTGGAAGTGGTTAATCTAATCCCGCTCCACGGTAATCAAATATTAGAACTTGCTGAGACAAAAATAGCACTATCTATGTATAATAATTAATTAACCGCGTTCTGTCTCTATCATTTGATTATCAGTACAATAGTGCCTCGTACTCCGAATTTAATTCGTTTCAGAAGACCGTTCGAACTCCGAATAGATCGGAATCCGGACCAAATTTTCGGTTATAAATAGTGGAAAGTGAATTAACCACGTGAATGTTAATTTTTTGTAATTCACCTAACCACTCAAAAAGAATGCCTTTAATATCATTTGATATGGTAGAATAGCAGGTTAATATATATCCTAAAACTTGCTTACAATTAAAATAAATACTGCTAATCATGATCAATCNGTTGTTGAAACAAAAAAAGTTATGCATTCCATCACGTACATAAACAGTGTCGTAATTCGCCAAGTGCAAATCAGCAAATTCGTAAAATTTTTGTTTATTTTGAACAATCCGGATAATCGAAAATCCGGATAATGGAGGTCCGGATAATGGAGGTTCTACTGTAATTAATGAAATATTTAAAACTGCACTTATATTAACTCTAATTTGAGAATTTTAATTTCGCTACTTACAAAAGTTACTTTATCTCTTTTTGAAGAGTCATAAACACATTCCACCACCAATTGATCGTTCTATTATAGAAGAAATGAATTAAAATTACATTCATTTCACCTTTCATAGCTAATATATAATATTAAAGAACTTTCGTAACGTCATACTCGTACTCTAACAACGAAAAAATAATTTAGATTTTATACTCACGGGCAGTACAGTGCGTTCTGCGGGCAAATATTTAAGTTGCTATCAGAAATTGAAAAAGTTTAAAGCAAAACATTTCTCGTAAATTCAATTTATAAATCACAGAATTACTCATTCAATAGAAATTACTTACCTGATAATTAAAATCGTAATTTAAATCTCTAGCTAAGGGAAGTAACTCTTCTCCATTTCGAAAATGTCTGACTAACATTTGTTTACCTAAATTAAATTTTTTTTTAGATAAGTTATTTTAAATACATTTTTTAATTAATAGAATATCGTACAGTACCTATGATATGAGAATGAAGTAGAAAACTATATATTTTGATTCCTTCCGGGGGAACTTGCTGTAAAATGTTTTAAATATTCTTTTATTGATTTTTTTCCAAAAAAAAAAAAACACGAATGACTTTAATAATTACCCGACGTAGACAAGATGGATGTGCGTGTCCTGCGACAATATACTCTTTCTGTTTCGGTGGGATAAACATGCAAGGATACCATAAATTTCCAACAGCTAACATTGCAGCATCGTGTTTACGAAGTTTTGACGTGTACGTAATTCTAAATCCAGAATTATCAACGATTCCTATGCAAATAGTCTTTTATTATCGTCGAAAAAATTTAGCATTATATAAATATAAATTACCTTTTTGTAAACTAGGATTATCGTAATGAGTTTCTAATAAAATCCATTTGACTTCTGGAATGCCTAGTGGAAGGCCTGCTTGATCAGGATAAATAAATGACTATAAAAACAAAGTAAAAATGAGTATTTTATAACTTTTAATTAATGTATAAAACACTAAAACTTGTTTACCTCTCCCCCAACGGCCCAACCACCGATGACATTAAAACAAAATGGAAATTTCCGTACGTTTTCTTCATTATAACATTCGGTGTATTCTTCATTTAAATAAGGTGTTATTCTATCTGTCTCGATGCCAGTACACTCGTACAGGATCATATGATGTACAAGTTTTTCATTTCCAGGTTCAATAATTGCCTCAAGCTAAATAAATATGTTAATAATGAGAGTATTTATGTGAATTAAAACACGAAGAACTTTAAATAATGAATAGTTTACTTTAACAATGTGATGTTTTCGACTTAATTCAGGCGTTCTGAAGAACTTGCAGTAGTATTCAGTATCTCTATCACCAGGAACACGCACCTAGACATAAATAAATACATTGTCAATTCGGATCTGCTGTCTCTTAAGGATAATTTCCAAACAAAAATCACCAATAATTTATTTTTAACCTGAATATCTATTTGGGTAAAAGAAATGTTCAGGTTTTGATAAAATACTGTAAAATAGTTTGCACTGGAATATGTGTTAAGTCGTTTTTTTGTATCTTCGTTAAGTTTGATAAGGTATATGTGATCTGAGCGTTGTGGACGTTGCTATATAATTTGTCAGAGCACAGTGCTATATTTGTTTACGCTCGCTTTTTAATTTAGTCTGAAGATTATGCAGTTTATCAATATATTACATTAAGATTGTGTGAAAATCTACTAAAGCGTTAATGAAAAAAATTGCATTCACAATGATTCATGTGTATAGAATTATTTTATTTTTAGACGTGAACTGTATACTTATGATTAGGGTTTCTCTAACGGGATCCTGGCTGTTTTTTAACCCGAGAAATAGCCAGGGAAATCCCGCAAATTTTTTAAAAGTTCACTTTTTTTCTTATTTTGTGTTAAGGTTGATGAAATTTTGCAAATAGAAAGTATAATTAACTCATAAACTGTCAGAATACATTTGTATTTATTAATTTTAAGCCTGCTTATTAGCTTTTTATATTTTTGCTTGTTATGGCACGTCACAGATTGTCAATAATCAATATGTAGACTATTTGTGGCAGGACTCTGAAAATTCTTTACTTGCCAGAACCTGTAATAACTTGAATACAGTCGACCCTCTATAACACGGTAGATACATTCCGTTCTTTATGAAATTGATGTTTTAAGAGTGCTTAAATACACGAGCCAATCACAGCCCGGCACTTATGCAATATACGGACTACGGCTGTTTGAAAGGTTTTCTTCCATAAAATTAATCGATTCTAGACTAATTCGACTCAACATTTCCAAAATACGTATAATTTTTTGGGAATAATCCATATAAACTATGCTATAAACAAAAATTTGTAGGATTACTTACCGAATGTGCACCGTTCGACGACGCCATTGCTTAAGCTTGTTTTCGTCGTGGAGCTTGTCATCGAATGGCGCTCGCGTGCTTCCTGATAAATTATTTTTTTTCCGAAAAATTCGCTGAACTTTGGAGACATCATTAATATAAATATAATTTTTATGGACGTTAAATAATAAATGGTTTTTAGTAGGTCCGTTGCTGGTTTAAACTCGACGGTTTGTACAATATCCGCTATTGGTCTAGATTCGACCACTCCTGTCGCGACACGAGTCGGCGATGACGTTTTGCCGAATTATACGAGTTTTTTTAGCGTGTTTGTACGAATACTGTCGCAATTTTTTCGCTGTAATATAGGAACCCGAACTATAGGAACCCGTGTTATAAGGGGGTTTACTGTATTTGATTATTTCGTACTTCTAACCTTTCGGTTATATTATATATATAGTTGTAAATCAAATACTATAAACTACAAAGATTATCTTATGTAAAGGTTTATCACATCAAGTGACCAATCTAACACATTTTAAAAATTCTTTAAATTTTGTACGGTAGAGGAATAAAGAAATTTTAAAATGCGTTAGATTGATCACTCGTTGTGATAAACCTTACGTAAAATAAACTTTGCAGTTATATAAATCAAATACTATAATATAACAAACATTAAAACGAAAACCATACAAAAAGTTTGCTTATTTAGCCTGCAGTTGTTGTGTTTATCACAATACTCAGATGATACGAAGTGACACTATTTCATTGGTCAAGTAAACACCAATTGAAAATATATATTAATTTTTTAACATGTCATATTTTTTTTCCAGATGTTAAAGCTAAGAAACTATACCTTTCACAGCCGAACATCAAACGGTAATCTGCCAACGAATCACATTTCGCAAAAAACAGACCAAATATTTTAACTCAACACCCTCGAAAATCTCTTAAAACGTATTTTGTGCTGGCTGCAAACCTCGTATTATGTAATTTTCTTATTCGAATGCCATTATACCGCTGGTCTGATAGAAAGTAAGTTGAAGTAATTCGATCAAAAGTAGTGGTTGATCTCCTCCCGGAAGAGAGGACGGTCAACGACTACTAATTAATACTGGTTTACTATTAATATTTGAAAAGTGATACGTGTTAGACAGGTTGTGATGGTTGTGATCGAATTTGCTAACCTTAACATCCGAAAGACTTCATATAAAGTTTGTTTAAATAAAAAAAAATCTTGTAAAACTGTGAGAATAATTGCTTTTATGTGATAATAGTGTTTAAATTTTGACAACATATTGTATAAAGTACGTGAGAAGTATGTTCTCGTAAATATTGCGTTTATAGAAAAATTATAGACAAATTGCGACTGTCGTTCCCTGTCTGTCTGTCTGTTCTTCCTGAATTTGGAGAAAGGTGTCAGATAAGTGAAACTCGAAACAGGATATGGAAAGCATATTTTGTGCTATATTATTGTCGCAGTAATTAAGTAAATATAATATATATATTTTTTTAAATTATATCCTTTTTTGTAAGAATTATATTTAGTTCATTATTTTGCTAAATTTTATACCAATTTCCTTCGTGTAACTCATCAAATCGAATGTAGATAGAAATTACTTAATTTATATAAATTCAAGCGTTGTTTTGGCGTGGGATGTATGACATTACTGAAATAAGAAGTGTGCTAACGTAATGCAGAATTTCGTAGCAATTGGTCGAATGGCCTAGAAGTGTATTGCAAACAAACAAACAAACATCCCCCTTTATATTTAAACATTAATTTAAAATAATTAAAACATGCCAGGACGAAATTAATACATTACAAAATTGAATGCGTAGAAGTATCACAAAAGTGTTTTCTTTTAATTCTTAATATCCTTTACACACTTAGGGAACAAATAGCCCTTACAGCAGAGTCGCCTTACATTATGGCAATGTTTTCAACTTTTTTTTTCTTAATCTCACGGTACACTTGAACCTATAATTAAATTTTCGCGGCAAAAATTTCCTCGGAATAAATCACATAATTTAGAATTGTGTTTGTAAACATTCTATCTTAATATTACTTGCCACTTAACATAATTCTTTTTGTTTATATTATTGTGAATTAAATAAAACAGTATTGTTCTTTAAAATAGCATCAGGTTACAACAATAGTTATTTAAATTAATAATTTTCATTCACATAAGAAAAGAAATTAACATTAAGTCTTAATTTGCATTTAAAAGTGGCACGATAATTGCCTTTATAAACCTGCCCAATGTTCCGCAATTTCTAAGTTAAAATAATTTGAACGTTTTTGATTAAAAGAAAATTTCATTTAATATGCACATGTAATTTTGCTTATGAATATATATTTTCTTCTACATTTCTACATTTATTTATTATAACAATGAAAAACTCGTATAATCAATTTAAAAGAGGTTTTAATTTTGACACTTATTGTTTTTGAGACTTCTTTCAAAAATAATTTGTTTAATAACCTTAAAAAATTTTTGTGCGCCGTGGATGCCGTGGAATGTGACGTGAAAAGTCACATTCAACAAATGTTCGATTGTTGGAAGCTAGAAAAGAACCTAAAGGTTATCTTTATACTCCCAGCATAATCCTCGCTTGAGGTTAGGGTAGGAGCATTATTATGTTAGAAAGGTCCGATTCATCTGAGAAGAAAATCAGCATTTGCAGATAATTGTTCCATGATGATATTAAAATATAAATTTTCCACCAAGCATTAGTGTACACAGCTGACTGGATCAGAAATACCTATCCTATAATAACATCGCCATAATGTAACAGACTTCTGTGATGTGATGAGTCCAATGATAATATATCTGTACTTATTTTGTAAACAAATTTCGAACTCTTAACAAGAAAGCAAGACTTGTGGATCAAACATTCGTTTTTCCAGTTGTCTGACCGCAATAATTCGAAATAGTTGTAACCAGATGCATTTCATAACAAATTCATTGTTACGCACGTTAAATTATATATCATTTTTAAAACTTCATTTCTATATGGCCTTACATCTATTGTCTTATCATATCGGGTGTATTATGCCTGATTCATACTGTTTTGAATTGTAATCTATATACGGCTTTAATTTCACATTTATATACAGTATATATGTTGTTATTTTGTTAAAATGCTACTACATAGATTTATATATTTTTTTCATTGATAAACCAAGTAGTACGTTTGCTATACGTCTTAAAACTTTAAAACATTCTCTACTTGCCAGTTGTTGGTTTTTATGGGATAAGGCAAGGCAACGCAACGCTAGCGATCTACTAAGGAGAATACCTGTCCGGAGGACTTTCTACGCGAAATTGGCTCCTATTTATCTGAAACAAGTGAAGAAAATCTGGAAAATCCATATGGTTAGCTCGCTGGTGAGACACGAAAGCGACCAACATGGTCAGTGATTTTTATCCACTCGGCCGCTGGTGGGCACCCTTATTTCAAGTGCATTCTAAGGAAGCAGGGATTTCGTGATGTTACCCATCAAATTGCCCCTGTTCACTATCCACGATTAAATAATATAGTGATATTAATAAGATTAAAATATAAGTATTGTAACATTTCTAATACTCACATTTGAATGTGTGACTTCCCAATGATACAGATCGCTAGGATTTTCTAGCAATACACCCCTCTCATACTTCTTTAAAGTAACACTCTTGGTTCCTCTATTTTTTGGACCATGATATGAGATCTCACCCGTAGAACCAGGATTTTCGTCATTGTAGGCGAATATTAATCTCGTAGTTTCATCCTGTATATTATGTTTTCCTTTAGAAAACGTCACGAAATAGAATAACATTGATAAATCTTCTGTACTTACAGTTATGTGTAAATCTTGTGAATCGCAAGGAATGAGAAATCTTTTAAAACTAAACTTTGTATGCGTATCGGTCTGTTGATACCACAGAAGTTCCCAATCTTGATGGTCGTCAATTTCCGGAAGAAACTTTCCTTTGGCGTATCTGTCCTGTAATAATCAATGACAATTACTATACAGAAGTAATGTAATAAATAATTTATTATATTAAATTAGTTATCGGTATTATGGATTATTTAAGAGAATTCTATTATCTTAATTGAGTACGATAATTAGCATCTTTCTGTATCTGTTATTCAGCCTATGTCTCATTCTTTGTCTTGATGATTTTTCGACTTACGAACTTGTAATGTAGATTCACATAGGATATATAATACATAAACATATCGTTATGTGTATATAAATTCACTTTAATCCAATAAAAATTGGTTGATTTTCTCACAGCAATTTCGGTTATGTAATTTAATTAATTAAGACTTTAACACAGGTTATACATATGCATTTCGGGTTGTTGTAATATGACAGCTAATATAGATAAAAGTATAAAAGATTTATCAATTAAGAAAGCAGAGAAAGAAAATTTAACTTCAATGGTTTATCCATAATTTAAAAAAGTATTTTAATGAGAAAAATAATAATAAGTATAATATAAAAATTAATAAATATAAAATTATTAGAAATTCAATAAATTATCTTAAACAAAAATAATCTCTCAATAATTAAAGAGGATAAAACCAGACAGTTAATAATAATAAATAATAAGAATTTAGATAAGAAAACTATAGAACAAATTAATATGACAATATATTAAATTGACTAACAATCCATACGATGAAATTAAAAAAGATCTAACTAAAAAAGTTAAAGACATACTGTATATATAAGTAAAATTGATAAAAATTATATCCTCAATTTTAAAAACAATAAAACACCTAAATTAAATATAATCAAATATAATATAATTTAAAAAAATCAAAAAAATTACACCCACCAAAAAAAAAACTGCAACGAGAAAGGAACCCGAGCCATAACAAAAGACTCACATAAAGAAGAAAAATATAGACTAATAGTAGATTTCAAATATTTAATTTTATACAATTTATAGCAGTACATTAAACAAAAATTAATGAACACTAATTACTCTAATTATAGCATAAAAAATGCAGACATAGTTATTAACAAAATACAGAAATTACAGAAAGAAAAGACTAATAAATTACTAAACCTTGACGTTAAAAATATGTATCCGAATATAAAATGGAATTTGATAGAAAGAAGTCTAATTAAATATTGATGAGGTTATAAAATTCGCATATAAAAAGAATTACTTTCAAGTTAACCGGGACTTCTATAGACAAACTGATGGCATAAGTATGGGGTCAAAGATGGGGCCAAAACTTGCAGAATTAGTTATGATAGACATAGATGAGACAATAAATAACAACCACCCAATAGAGTGATTGTTACCATGGTGTGGAGAGGTTATTACCATAGATACATATAAGGCTAAGTTTTGTTACATTTTATTTTCATTTTTATGGTTCGAACGTACAAACCGGTTTTAGGAATGTCAAAGACTTTAACGACGAATGTCAATGTCCGTATTTGCAGATTTTTACGATATGAAACAATTAATTTCATTAAATTAGAAGTTTCCTTGCATAAATTATTCTTTAATAAATTGGAAAAAATGTATTTTAAAAATAAATAAAGTATTTAATAGTCTAACAAATTCTAAAATTATACTCACGATAGATATAATTAGTCTATAAATATCAATGAAGTTTTTAATTTAAGTAATCTTAATTTAGTATAATCCGATGAAAATGTTGTAAGTTAAAGTTAAAAAATTGAATACGAAATGCTTTCATACGTTAATTTAAAATGAAATAGTTTAATTTCATTAATTTTAACTATGCCGAATTACTTAATTTTACTGAAATATTTTTAAAGTATTTCAGTTAATTTGATCAATTAAATAATAGAAATTTACGAGCTTATAATTTATGTTAATCATTATTAAACAAATTCGAAAAATAACTTTTAAATTGATCTTTCGATAGAAAAAATGGTTAATTTCTTCCGAAATCTTACGTGAAATGTGGCTTTTCCGTTGTTAATCCATCCGATGACCACGTCGCTACCTTCCATCCCACCATTTGGAGAAATTCCGAATCCAACCCATCCTCTAGTTGCAACTTCTACTTGAAAAGTAATAGATTCTTCGTCCGTCGACCACCAAATTTCGTAATTTTCATCTAATTTTGAATACCGATCGAAATTTCGTGCAGAAACCGTGAAGATACACAACATCAAAAACGCTAAATCGACCATTATAGAGGTGACCAGACTAAACGAATAAATTTATAACCAGTTTGAATAATGTTCATGCCTTATCTTGCTTTAATTGGTCTATTCGCTTGAAAATCTGATATCATTGCCTGTTGCCTGTTATATTACATTTAATGAACTTTTTTAATATGAAAAGTTGATATGGGGTCGTCCATAAATTGCGTAAGGTATTTTGGGGTGAGTGGGGGGTCAAGGATTTCATACGATTTCTTACTCAGGGGTAGAAGGGTAATAGATCTCGTCTTACGTAATATTATTATTATTATTTGATCTTGTTGAGTGGCGACGTCTTGAATTTGGCTTCAATTTGGCAGTTTCTATTAAGAACGCTCGTTGTCTCGTGTGACGTGATAGAGTAATAACGCTAACAGATTCACGCTCTACACATTTTTTGTCATGGGAGAAAGGCCGTGTAGTGGTTTCTCTCTCTTGTTTTTTTATTAAAATAAGTGCACCACTCCTATGGGTATATAACACTAAGAATACATAAACCAAAATACGCGATACAAAGTAAACATAAAATTAGTATTCATTCGGCTTTTAGTGAAAACTAAAATGTAAAACTAGAAATTAGAAATAGTCTTTTCTTCCATATTTTTTGAACATAATTATAAAAAGCATCAAACAGTGGTTTCTGAACAAGCTTATCGAGTGGGCATGGCCACCTGAAACCAAGCGTAAAAATTTCTAATTTCAAAATAAGTTTATTTTGATCGTAAATTGGACAATGATAGATCGTATGGTCGATGGTGCCTAGGTTTTCTGTAGAGCAAAAGCAAGAAGCAGCTTCTGCCCGGTTATACATCGCCTGGTAGCTTCTAAAATTACCATGCTCAGTAAATAGTTGAGCAGTAGCAAACGTTAAATCTCTAAGTAGTCATGAGAACCTACATTCAACACTAGGAAAATAAAGTCTTGTTATTCTACCAGTTTTACTGCTCAGCTACTTTTACTGATTCCACTTTTGCATAGCGTTGTCATGAATTTAAGGCTGCTACAAGAGAGAGGGATGTGAGTGTAGTCCAAATCAGTGCCCTTTGCAGTTGACTTAGCCTCAAAGTCATATTTTTCATTTCTTAGTATGCCAGTATGGCCAGAAACAAATATAAAAGTTATCTTATTTACAAGATTTTTAATATGATGCTGGATATATGCGATTTTATTGCTATTACTATTGGGATTTAACAGAGCTTTTAGGACAGACTGAGAATCGCTGTAAATGTTGATAGACAATGTTTTGTTTGGTAGTGAAGTGGCCCACTGAACAGCTTGGTAGTCAGCATCTTCTTCAGCTTGATAGATGGAGGTATGTGGGAGGTAACTGTACCTTCTAACATATTTTTGGCAAAATATGTCAGTTTGGAGGAAGATACAGATACTTGAGCCGACAAGAAGGGAGCTTTTGGACCAATCTGTGTAAATATTAATGTCTGCGTGGTTATCTATGGAGGAAGCAGATGACACCAAATAACCTTGTTTACAGGATGATGATCAAAGATAGTAGGGTAATTGCAATGTGGTAGCATATGAACAGCCGTAGATGGGAGTAGAGACCGTTGTTGAGCCTTGACGTTTGTAGTTCTGATGTAATTGTTTAGAAACTTTTCTACAAAACATAGTGGCATAGGAAGGAGCTCTGCTAGTATCAGACAGGCGTTAGTATTGAATAAAAACAGTTCTGCAGCACTTTGAAATTCTGATGTCAAACTGGCTTTGAAGAGAGAGTAATTTACTTGCTACTGAATTTTTACTAGTTACATGACCACAGCCAGAGGCCACGTACAGTAGCATTGGCTGTATTGCCCCATTATATAGAGTTTTATAAGCTTTATTAGTACCTTTATTATATAGAGTTTTATAAGCGTTATTAGTCCCCAGGTGCACCTAACACATTTTAGCAGCGTGTAGTTTATTTTCTTGGCCTTAGCCAAGATGTAATCAATATGGCAACGGAATGTGGTTTCTCTCTATTCTCTCTTGTTTTATTTGTATGATGTTTCTGTTTACACGTGCACTAGCTAGTCAATCTGGCAAAGTTTTTGCGTCTTTTGTGAAAATTGAAATTAATGTAAAAATAAATATTATGACGTTGATTAATGATGATGATGATAATAATAATAATAAGATTGTTATAATTAAAAAATAAAGTTTTTAAATAAATTGTTTATTCGAATTCATTCATTACATTTTTATATTTTTAAATTTGTTCACATAAAGTCTTTTATAAATAATACATATTAATTAACTAATTAATAATTATATATTTTGAACCTAAGGGTTTTTGGGTTTCATAAAAAATTTTTTAGTTAAAATCTTTCTATAAAATTATGCCAAAGTATTACGTAAGATAGGGAAGGGAAGGGAAGGGGAGGGAAATCAAAGAAAATATTACGGTTTCTTACACAGAAATGGTGGGGTCTAGAATGGCCGAAATCGTCCTTACGTAATTTATGGACGGCCCCTATGTAATAAAAAAATTTCATTAGTAAATAACATTTGAAGTTAAATCTTAACCTTTTTTTTTACTTTAATAAGTAAAAGAATAATTATATAAATATCTGTTTATATTACTGTACATGTAACTGTATGTTTCATACTGTTAAATTTTAATGTATTTTCAATGATATGGTCAAATCCTGGCTGCTGAATGAACTGACAATTGCATTCATTATAGTACGTTCTAGTACTTTTTAGAGTGTGCTCTTCATCCCTAAAACCATTCTGTTCATTTCATTAAAAAGAAAAAATCCATATTATTTAATTAATAAAATTTTTATTTTAAAGTTTAATATAATAGCATTTAGCTTTGCATTGAAGTGCAGCAGTCTTTTATTATGAGAACTTTCTATTTGCTCTTCAAGAAAACTGTATTGACTGTTTTCACGCTAATGTAAATTGTATTGTTATCTCGTCTTCAACGGCATAATTATTTTGTAATTTTAGTCTGTCAAGCCTGGAAAGGAAACAGTGAAATATCCAGAGTTAACATACTTATACAATTATTTTTTGTGGTAATCAAATCTTTGCAAAATAGTAACCTTATTTTCATTTTATTCAATAATATACAGTTTAAAAAAAGATAATTTACAGATTCAAAGTTCACTAAAAAACAAAAAACAAATTCTATAGAAAGCTCTTCGTTTCTTCATAGTGCAAACATGAAGAAATGGCATTTAGAATGATTTTCCTCTGAATGTCGGTGTTTTTAAAACAAAATAGATATATAAATTGCAAAAAGTCAGTATTTATAAAATGTATTAAAGCTTATTTTTGCCCTTATAATCGTATTCGAAAATTTATACACAGNAAGGGAGGTAACTGTACCTTCTAACATATTTTTGGCAAAATATGTCAGTTTGGAGGAAGATACAGATACTTGAGCCGACAAGAAGGGAGCTTTTGGACCAATCTGTGTAAATATTAATGTCTGCGTGGTTATCTATGGAGGAAGCAGATGACACCAAATAACCTTGTTTACAGGATGATGATCAAAGATAGTAGGGTAATTGCAATGTGGTAGCATATGAACAGCCGTAGATGGGAGTAGAGACCGTTGTTGAGCCTTGACGTTTGTAGTTCTGATGTAATTGTTTAGAAACTTTTCTACAAAACATAGTGGCATAGGAAGGAGCTCTGCTAGTATCAGACAGGCGTTAGTATTGAATAAAAACAGTTCTGCAGCACTTTGAAATTCTGATGTCAAACTGGCTTTGAAGAGAGAGTAATTTACTTGCTACTGAATTTTTACTAGTTACATGACCACAGCCAGAGGCCACGTACAGTAGCATTGGCTGTATTGCCCCATTATATAGAGTTTTATAAGCTTTATTAGTACCTTTATTATATAGAGTTTTATAAGCGTTATTAGTCCCCAGGTGCACCTAACACATTTTAGCAGCGTGTAGTTTATTTTCTTGGCCTTAGCCAAGATGTAATCAATATGGCAACGGAATGTGGTTTCTCTCTATTCTCTCTTGTTTTATTTGTATGATGTTTCTGTTTACACGTGCACTAGCTAGTCAATCTGGCAAAGTTTTTGCGTCTTTTGTGAAAATTGAAATTAATGTAAAAATAAATATTATGACGTTGATTAATGATGATGATGATAATAATAATAATAAGATTGTTATAATTAAAAAATAAAGTTTTTAAATAAATTGTTTATTCGAATTCATTCATTACATTTTTATATTTTTAAATTTGTTCACATAAAGTCTTTTATAAATAATACATATTAATTAACTAATTAATAATTATATATTTTGAACCTAAGGGTTTTTGGGTTTCATAAAAAATTTTTTAGTTAAAATCTTTCTATAAAATTATGCCAAAGTATTACGTAAGATAGGGAAGGGAAGGGAAGGGGAGGGAAATCAAAGAAAATATTACGGTTTCTTACACAGAAATGGTGGGGTCTAGAATGGCCGAAATCGTCCTTACGTAATTTATGGACGGCCCCTATGTAATAAAAAAATTTCATTAGTAAATAACATTTGAAGTTAAATCTTAACCTTTTTTTTTACTTTAATAAGTAAAAGAATAATTATATAAATATCTGTTTATATTACTGTACATGTAACTGTATGTTTCATACTATTAAATTTTAATGTATTTTCAATGATATGGTCAAATCCTTGCTGCTGATTGAACTGACAATTGCATTCATTATAGTACGTTCTAGTACTTTTTAGAGTGTGCTCTTCATCCCTAAAACCATTCTGTTCATTTCATTAAAAAGAAAAAATCCATATTATTTAATTAATAAAATTTTTATTTTAAAGTTTAATATAATAGCATTTAGCTTTGCATTGAAGTGCAGCAGTCTTTTATTATGAGAACTTTCTATTTGCTCTTCGAGAAAACTGTATTGACTGTTTTCACGCTAATGTAAATTGTATTGTTATCTCGTCTTCAACGGCATAATTATTTTGTAATTTTAGTCTGTCAAGCCTGAAAAGGAAACAGTGAAATATCCAGAGTTAACATACTTATACAATTATTTTTTGTGGTAATCAAATCTTTGCAAAATAGTAACCTTATTTTCATTTTATTCAATAATATACAGTTTAAAAAAAGATAATTTACAGATTCAAAGTTCACTAAAAAACAAAAAACAAATTCTATAGAAAGCTCTTCGTTTCTTCATAGTGCAAACATGAAGAAATGGCATTTAGAATGATTTTCCTCTGAATGTCGGTGTTTTTAAAACAAAATAGATATATAAATTGCAAAAAGTCAGTATTTATAAAATGTATTAAAGCTTATTTTTGCCCTTATAATCGTATTCGAAAATTTATACACAGTTACATTCTGTAATTAAAATGTTAATACAAAACTATTTATTTTGTTCTTCACAAAATAGTTCAAAAATATTTGTATTATACTTAAAAAGGAAAATTTCATTTGACAATAACATTAATTTTGTAATTTTTAAATTTTTTTTCAGCTCAAAACCAATAAAAGAAACATTTCTTTTCGCATCCTTTATAAATTAGGTCAGATGATGAATGATAGCATCCAAAATACCTACATTTCTGACCAAACCTGCTTCCTAGACTACCAAGAAATTGAATAAACTTCATAAATTTTACATACAATACAAATAAACATGTACTAAAGTTAGCTGTCACAATTGCTTAGTTTATTTTTAAATAAATAATTTATAAGAACGTTCATATTATCGCTCGGTTATATGAGTTATTGCTATCTAGAGTAACTTCAGATTTATATGAGGAAAGAATTAATAAAATAACAATTTAATAAAAGAATTATAGATTAAAAATGATACTTTCAAAACTTAACCAGATTCTCTAATTATCTGTTCTATTATAGGATAAGGAATAACATGCGGTACAATTTCGCTTTTAGGTTTATCGGTTGTAATTTCTAGTCTTTCTGTAGTTCTGTCTTGTCTAACATTTGGAGGAAATGGTTTGTATGGCTTTCTTGTACTCGATGGTGTACGTGGAGGAGGTTTCCAAGGCGGATTTCTTGTAGTTGTTCTGACTGGTGGGAATTTTCTTTGTGGTTTGCGTGTTGCTGGAAAATCAGTTTGTTGCATCTGTGTTGTTCTCCATGGATCTCTTGTAATTGGTCTGACTGGTGGGAATTTCCTTTGTGGTTTGCGTGTTGCTGGAAAATCAGTTTGTTGCATCTGTGTTGTTCTCCATGGATCTCTTGTAGTTGGTCTGATTGGTGGAAATTTTCTTTGTGGTTTGCGTGTTTCTGGTCTAACATTTGGTGGAGAATTAGTTTGTTGCATCTGTGTTGTTCGTTTTGGAGGAAAAGGTTTCTGCGGTATTCTTGTAGTTTGGTCATTTCTAGGTGGTAAAGTAATTTCTGGTATTTTGGGAGTTATTGGTCTAGATGGTTTTGTTCTTGGTGGTATGTCTCTGATGGGGTTTTCACGTGATGCACAAATGTCTGGTTCTTTGTAGCTTCGTTTTACTTTTGGATATCTCGAGAGAATATAATTCTAAAATCAAAAATANCTAACATGACACATGTATCAATTATGAACTGTTCATGATCAATACAGCAATATTTAAAGGCATAGGTCTCTGGTCTAGAACAGAAATCTATGAAAAATTAGTTCGGACCAGATTTAATCCAGGAATCCATTTTGACATCTTGTATGGCTAGTTGAGTGGGAGGACACGCTTTTCCGTTCCGATTTATTTCAAACATTTAAAAATGTTTATATAATTAACTTACCTTAATTCCTTTTCCATTTGTATCTAAACAAAAGTTTATATGAGGGCCATACATCATAGCTTTTTGTATTTGATTTACTGAAATTTCGTCCCATGAATAAGAATCGAGAAAGTCATAATAACTTTCATTTTTTCCGGTAAGTGGAGAAACAACAGATTTTTCATCCCTACAATAGATTTACAATTAAATTATATAATTATTATTAAATAAAAATAGTATAATCTGATGTATAAAATACTTACTCTGATAGCTTTTCTACGCCTATCGATTTCAATACATTGCTAGGAATAGGGCAACTAGTAGCTGCAGATATGTTCTGTTTAGGATAATATGAAAGAAATGCCAAACACATTTCTTCGTGTGTTGAAAGCCCACCCTAATTATGTAATTATTTGTCAAAATCATTTCAAATTAAATAGAAAACAGATTAAAATCGATTACTTACAAATGTGGTATGATTCTTTTTTGAAGAATCATAAGTACATTCTACTATCACGTGATCATTCTATAATTTAAGAAATCAGAGTTAATGTTAAACTTTTACTACTAAGTAAGTGATTGAATACTTACAGGTAAAAGCAGCCGCTCTTCAGGAAAGCGACGATATTCCTACAGATAATTTTTTTTATTAATATATACTGTATACGATATAATTAATATATTAATACATGAAAAGGTAGTTTGACCTATTTTTAAACAAAAAATAAAAAAAAATGTGACAAAATACATTCGGGTATGATGGATTAACGTTGCGTTTTTTATGCTATTATTGTATAAACAAGAGCCAACAAACCAAACTCACCTCGATCCTAAAAATGCACTTGTATGTGTATGTTTTTATACTCTAAACTATAATTTAATTTTGCTTTTTAATATAACATACTTTCCTCATATTTGTTCATCACAGTACAATCTAAATTTAGTTTAGTTTCCGAAATAAAAATATCAATTCATGCTATTAATTAAAAGGTACATTTTTCCAAATTGAAGCCCTATATAAAATAAATTTTCAAAGACATACTTGTAGAATACAAAGAAAGCTTCAGTTATTTCTACGCGTAAAAGCTACAATTCAACTAGATTTTGATTTCTGTGTATGAAGTATCAAAATACATTTGCTGGTTTGAAGTTTGCTAAATAAAAACAAGGCTTCATAGGCAATCGAATCAACTTATAGGTATTGCAGAATAGTATGACGTCCCACACTCATTATCAGAAAATAACTAAAAATATCTCATATTGTATGGAATCTCTCATGAAGAAAACAAATGTCATATTTTGATATTATATGACATACATTGAAGAAAAGTGAATTGTTGAGAAATAATAATTTCTTTAAAATTACGATCTGCATTAAAATTCATGACTAAACAAATATTAAATATATTTATTACAATTACTATTTATTAAAAATTATTCATTTGTACTGTATTAGGCTAAATTTCACCGCTTATATTTATTTTGTGTGACCTTTAATAATGATTTGTGATTTTTGTAATTTCATGATTTAAGAAAGAATTATTTTTTCTATTAGTCAAGTTTTTTATAGTGATATAAAAACAGAATTTTATAATTTTCTTTGCCTCTGTAGTTTGAAAAAGTTTTAATCTGTGTTTTAAAAAACAGTCAGTGAGAAAACAACAGAAGAATTTGCAAGAACAATTAAAAGTGATTAGAATTTTTTATAATTAAACCTTGTAAAGTTATGTTGTTTTTAATTGTAAATTGATGATACCTGATAGTTGAAATCGTAGTATTTGTCTACATCCAATGGTGGGAGTTCTTCATTGTTTCGAAAATGTCTCACTGTAATTTTCTTTGCTAAAAATTAGTTATGATTATATTTATGGAAAAATGAAATTTTAATATTTACCATGGGCGTAGCCAGAGTTTTGTTATGGGGGGCCTAGTGGAGGCCAACCTGACACAAAATTGAATTATTTCAAATTATTGTTCATTATTGGGCACCGAGCAAGCCGTTTACCTTTTTTTTAGTATTCAAAACTTTTATTTTAGCTTTAGGTTTTTACAAATCGACTCAACACTTTTTCGGCTGTGATTTCCTGGGGAGGGCACCAGGTTCCCTGGGAGGGGCCGTGCCCACCCAGGCTCCCCCCTCGCTACGCCCATGATATTTACACAAAGTACATTTAAAACAATAACTTACCAATAAGATGCGAATGAAGAAGAGAAGAAAATATTTTAATTCCTTCTGGAGGAATTCCCTATAAATACACGCGATCAATTTAAAATTATGATTTGATTATTTTAATTAATTAAAAAATTATCATTATTCTATTAATTTATTTTATAATATCTTATATTTTCATTGTAAACCAACCGAAAACGCATTTGAAAGTATTCGAAACTGGCAAAAGATTGCACTTTCATAATTTAATAGCACAGATAGCAGCGAAATATAATTAATTTTTTAAAATAAACTAATGTTTTTTTAACTAAGCATTTATTATTTTAAGAAATCCTACATTTTTATAATATAGCTTATATTTTACAAAGTAAGGAATTCTTTTGCATTGAAAGATAATAACTCTAACAGATAAGAAAGTTTTTAAACACAGAACAATTAAATAAATACTTTTTGTTATAATAAACATTTCCTCTTGCTAATAAAATCGTTTAAAAAGTAACGTCCCTGAAATTAAAAACTAAAAATCAACGTTTTTTTCAATATAATTCTAGAAAGAAAAACATAGAAAAATCCAAGAAAAACAGGGAAAGTTCTAAAAAATTCTAGGTAAATAGCCTAATTTAACAAAAGTGTGTATAAAATCCTTAGATTGGAAAACAATAGCAATTCAATTATACAATCATTTAAATATCATACATATTTTTCTACCATATACAGTATATATATTTTAAGATTCTTCTTCACAAAATTGATTTATTTTGACATTTATATAAAGTTCTGCAAATGATGCACCAGAATTTCCCAAACCACACTCATATTTAAAGCACATAGAGGTATGATTCAAAATTAGTTTAGTGTTTCGATTATCGTTACGAGTAATTAAATCATTTGTACTACTTAATAACACTATAAATACAAAGAAAATTGAAGTTATATATTAGATGTATGAAAAAACGCTTTTTTTACCAGCCATAAATAATATAATTTTTTAAATTTTTAATAAAATTTAAATAAAAATAATATGAATTTATTTCCAAAGTACTTATCTGTGAAAGGCTGTAAAATATACATTGATACAGTATTTGAAAATTAGTTTGATAATGATATCAATTCGATCTAATAACATTTATTGTTTTGATTGGGTTAATGGTCTGAATAATTGGGTTAATGGTCTAATAAAATAAATCTGCAATCGTATTACTTACCTGTCTTAAACAAGATGGATGACCATGACCCGAAATTATAAATTCTTTTTGATTTGGTGGCACAAATACGCAAGGATACCATAGAGAACCTACGGTTAGCATCGAACCATCGTATTGTCTGAGTTTAGGAGTATATGATATTCTCAATCCGGACGAATCAACAATCCCTAATTGTTAACGAATACATAAACATAAACAATATATCTTAATCTAGTAAATAAATGTAATTTACCTCGAGCAAATTCGGGATTATCATAATGAATTTGTAGAAGATACCAAACTACATTAGACATTCCAATAGGTATACCGACATTTTCTGGAAAATACATTCCCTAAAAAAGTATTAATGTAATTTTGTAATTTTTCATTATTTAATCCATAATGTAATGTTTAGATGTATACCTCTCCTCCGACAGCCCATCCTATAGATGCTGTCAAACAATAAGGGAATTTCAATATACCATCATCGTCATAACATTCATAATACGTTCCATCCTTGAAGGGTGAAATAGCTTCTTCATTGATCATACATTCATATAAAATAATATGGTGAACGAATTTTTCGTTTCCGGGTTGTATTAATGGTGCAACCTAGAAAATTATATAAAATTTTAAAATTTATTAAATTACGTTTATCCTAATAGATCCATTAAATCCCTTCTATTCTTCTGACACTAACATGGGTCCATCATGATTTGTTTTAATCGGATACGCCGCATCCGATAAGGCAACGCAACACGTGGGCGATCTGCCAAGGGAAATTCTTTATAAAAACTTTCTAAAGGGCTACTAACTATTTAAGACTACTTTTTAAGTAGGCTTACTATATTACTTAAATAGTTGAAATAGAATTTAATTTAAACTAATTTCAAGGATTTTCTCCGTGAAACTGAACCCTATTTAGGTGTCAGACAGGTAGACAAAACCCAGAAAATTCCAAGTGTTGTCAGCCCTTTAGTGAGACCCGAACCCACAATCAGTGTTCGGTTGTTTTGTCCACTTGTCCATTGTTTGCCCATTATGGGTTCGACCAAGTACACGATGGAGCGGCTTTGATAGGTACGCTAGTGTCTTTACTCTCTCCAACATACAGCTACTACTATTGATATCGTTAATTTGACATATAGTATATATGTTAGGCCCATTGATTGCTGCAAATAAATGCACTATTCATAAAATATATTACAAAAAAATAACTATAATTACTTTTATTATATGATGCTGTTTATCTAAGTTTGGTCTTCGTAATAAGGTACAGTAATAAGTAGTATTTTTGTCTTCTGGTAATAAAATCTACAAAAAAGTTTCAATATACAGTTTATATCTCCATATTACGTTACATTTTTAAAATTTCACTTACGTTAGGACTTGTAACATCCCAATATTCAATATCTTCCGGACTTTCGTAGTGTATTGGTTTATCAAGTTTATAATTTATCATAACACTTACAGTACCCCTTCTGTTTGCTCCGTGATACATAACTGTATCGGGTTTTGTAGGATCATCGGAATGATAAGCGTAAATAAATCTAGTTGTATCATTCTATTGAAATACAGATAATTTAAAATTAAATTAATTTAAAATCTGGAATATAAAGAATATTTTTAATACTTACCGTTATAAAAAGATCTTGATCGTCACACGTGATGAGCATTCTCTTGAAACGTATGGAGGTATGAGTATCGTTTTCGCAGCACCATAGAAGCTCCCAATCTTGATGGTCATCTATAATCGGTTGATAATTTCCTTCTGCGTGTCTATCCTAACCATTTTTAATAATTTAATGAAGCGATATAATATTTTAAATAACACATTCCGGGTATAGAAATAGAATCATTAGCGGCTAACTGCAAAACCGTAATTTGCTGTTTTATGTAATGGTTTGGAATTCTACATATTAGCTTAGGATCTCGTATCGAATATAATAGGAAATTGTTGAAAAATCGCAACATTTAGAGTTAACCGCTTATGGTTCTATTCCATAATATACATGAGTTAATGCATAATGCATGTAGTTAGTTATAAAGTGAAAAATATAGGAATATTTAATGAAACGATGAGCTAATCATTAGCAATTAATAACAGTTATTTTTATTTTTTTTTAAATATACTTACATGAAACCAAGCTTTTCCATTATTTACCCAGCCTATAACTAAGTCGCTGCTCGCCATTCCTCCATTCGGAGAGATTCCGAATCCAATCCATCCTCTAGTGGCTACTTCCACTTGAAACGTGACCCATTCTCCTTCGACTGACCACCAAACTTCATAATTTCGATCTAATTTTAGATATCGATTCCAATTCTCAGTAGAAATCGAGTAAAAACAAAGGAAAAGAAGAAAGATAGCAGAGTTCATTGCATCCGATCAAAGGTTGACATTCACCTGACATTCAATCCAGAATGCTTTTAAAGTCGTCCAATTCGTTCAATTGCTATTCTCCGCCCCTATTTTTTGGTATCGAATTATAAAAACTTAATGTCATAAATTTTATTTATAATAATTTTAAATGTTTTTTTTTTAATTTTTAAAAATTATTATATAAATAAATTATTTGAATATTTGTATATATGAACTTTTAATCTAAAACTTTAATCAAACTATAAGCAGGTCGAAGTCCTAATTGTTGCCTGAAGCAATTACATGTACATTACATGTACTTAGAAGAATTATATACCAAAAAAATCGTCTATACGTTTTTACTAAGCAGTATCTATAGGCCTATATAACATGTTATAGTTGACGTTTTCGAGATAGTATGATAACTTATAATGGACTACGACTTTCACTGAAAAAGGTTAATGTAACTCAAGGTTAATTGTCTTCTGTGCTTATAATTGTGTTATAAGCTACGTAATAATATTAAAAACTGAGTATTTAAGCATTTATTCTTGTTATTAATTCTATTTTATAAGTTTAAGTATAGGAAAAATTAATTCAAAATGGATCATAGAGTAATTAATATTTATCCTTTTAGTTTTTAAAGAATGTAACTTATAATTATTTCAAATTATTAACAAATTGTTTATAGTAAAAGTCAAAATATTTTTTTTTTAATATTTCCAAAGTACTTATCTGTGAAAGGCTGTAAAATANCTTTTTTCTAAATTTCAAAAATACTTTTAAAAATATTATCTTATAAAATATAATTATGATTTTTTTTAGTTTGCGTAATTATAGGCTAATTTTAATTTAAATAAAATACTTTAAATGTTAATACTGTACTAGTAATTTAAGTATTTATTTTATAAAATTTCTCTACATGATTCTCAAATTCGACATCTTTTAATGTTTCTAAATGATTATCAGTTATTTAGTTCTCATTATATTATTGTAAATTACATTTATAAACTCATTTTAAACTAAAGTTTAGTTATAATACCCTATTTTTCTCCTTAAAACGTTCCGTAAGCAATTACAGGTTGTTTTCTTCTTAGCAATACAATTGAAAATTTTATTATCTAATTTTAAATTAAAGTAAGATATATTATTTAAATGTGATTGTTTCTTCTATGGTAAGTGTTTTGAGTTTAGTCTCTAGATACCTTCAATGAAACAATCGATTTATTTAGAGATCGATAAATTACAAGGGATAGTATAGGAATCGGTAGACACATTTCTCTAGAAATACAGTATATTAAAATAATAAGAATGTTATTTGTCTTGTTTTTTATTCTCTTTGTAATCTATTTCTATTTTGCATCCGTATAGAAAGGGGTCGCCGAATTAAATATAGTATTAGAAAAGAGTCAGCAAGTAAACAAAAGGCTGGACCCTTCTGATAGATTTACAGTGAAACATGCTAATGTGACTACCGAAGAGACCAGCTCATAGTGGTCACCTTAATCAAATGGTCACCTTATGCAAAAAGAGGGATACAAGTGTTTTTGAATGAAATCACTTAAATAGAAATATGCAAAAGGTTTGATTATATGAAATTTAATATAAAATGCAAAAAATAAAAGAAAAATGCAAAACAATTGAATATACAGTATTCTAAACAAAAGAACAGAGAAGAAAAAAACAATGCAACAAATTCAATATTTTGTGAGACTTCATCAATCCTGGATTGCTTCAAAATTTTGTTTTTTAAAAGTTTTATCAGCTACAATTGTCTTTGCATGATATATTGGCATAAGAACCTCAAAATTCCATTTTCTCCAGCTTATCATAAACTTCCTTTTGGGATAAAGGCAAGGGCTTCCCTTCCTCGTTATGACAAACCTTTATTTTCACTACTTTCATTCTTTTCCTTATTGAACTCTTTTAGGACACTTCCAAAAGCATCTTCCAAATAAATGGATTCGATGGTCGCAACATCACGATCATAGTCAATAAATTCATCTGTTTTCGTTTAATATCCTCATTTTAGTAAACCACTTCGGAGTTAAGAAATTTATGTCATCAAATTCAGTTTCTCTCTTCTTTCTGCTCATATCTTCGGACTCAATTTGAAACCTATCCAGACATTCCCGCTTTCTCTCTTTAATGTTATCTACGGTTGTCTTACTAACTCAACTCAGCTGTTCGCCTTGACTTTCTAAAAAGCGGATCAGTTCGCACTTCTGCCGAAGATTTAGCTCTTTGTATCCTTTCGTTTCCGTTCAAGAAGTTAATTGGGGTCAGTGAATAAGTTATTGAAAAGAGAAAAAAAGAAAATGAAACTTACTTTAGAATTTAAAATCAACCTAAAAAATCGTAACAATTAACAAAGACGTGACCAAAGTGGACAATGGTCACAATAGACAGGTGGTCATTGTACGGAGATACATCTCCATTGCAAAATGTATTATTTTGCAGAGACCAGCTTAAACTGGTTAAAAGTTATTCCCAATTAACAAGAACATTTACGTATTTTTTTTTTCTAATAAACTTTTTGGTATCCATAAAGCTACCGAATTCTTTTACCAGTTTATTTCTTATATTAATTATTAGAATCAATTTTTTCATAGCTAGACTTAAAAATGTTCTTTTTCAAAATGCTTTCTAATTCTTTATTATTAATTTAGGATCCATTTATTCACTTGGAACCTCTGCAGCTTGAAAAAGATGCAAACTAACAGATGCATCTGTTTTTGCTAGTTCTTAGCGAATATTTCAGTAATACAAGTACTATAAATACTGTATTTCTGCAGAAGATAGAATTATTTCGCAACCCATTAAAATTTCAAAGCAGCCTAATATTGGGGTCGTGACCCACAATTTGAAAAACGTTGGTCTAAATTAGTGATAGCGAATTTATGACCCGCGTCCCGATTTCAAGGTGAATGTAGAATGTAAATTTTTAAATTTTTACAAATTTTTGAATATAGAAGAATTGTAATTAATGATTGTTTTCTATATCCTAAAGTCTTCGCGATACCGTGTATTATATTACTGTAGTCGGTAAAGACCACATTGCCCTACACTGTACTGTCACGAAATATTTTTAGCTCATTACCTGTAATAATAAATTCAATACTATAATCTAATAAAGCTCAGTTAAACTTATGTGTAGAATTGATCGTAATAAATTACTTTGCTGTCTGTCCACGTTTTGGTTTTCTATGTTATTGAAGAAAACATCTCGCAAACTCCGACTTTCCTAAACTCGGTCATCATTCACCGCCTATTAATTTGAGTTAGCGGCGATTTATTGTATGTAAATTTGGGTTTACATGAAATTAGTCAAATTTTAGAGCATTTAATACAATAAAAATATCATATAAGTTTTATTTAGTATATTAAGGATTGATTAATTGTGTCTATTATGTGATACTTTCTCGTCAACTCTAAATCCTTACTACAATAGATAAGTATTCAATATCTTTATCATAAGCTAATTTAACATATAAAATTAAAACATAAAATAATAATTAATCTAATTAATAATGATTATTTTAAGGAATCGAACTGAATAAATCAAAGAATTTTTTTAAACTTTTAATTTAGGTTTAAGTATAGGCTATACCCATGGGTTTCCAACTCTAAGGGGCCGAATTCCGTTCGGATTACTAATGCCTTTATGTAATCAAGAAGATCAATATTTTATCGATTAGAATATTTTCTCTCTGTTATTTTTAACAGTCGGTAAAGTAAATTTTCCGGGGGGGGGGTTGTCTGGATATATCGGGCCCCGTTCCTTACCACCGTCAGCCCTATTATGGGTCTAACGAACCCATAATGAAGTTGCTAAAAAATGTCCTCTTAGTGCCGACAGGGCGGAATGAGTTTAAAAAAGCTCGGAAGGTAAAGGTAGTACTGTATTTACATACAAGTAACACCATCTATCGAACAGACGAAAAATTATTTAAAAATCTTAAAACAATATCTGATAAGTTATCAACGTACGTCAGAAGTTTTGAAATAATTTTGTCTCGAATATTAGTTTCATATACAATATCTATTTTGAATAGAAATTTGCGTTTTAAGAGATAAGCCCAAATTTATCAAAGATGAAATTTATGCTGGAAAGAGGGTTTTTTTTGCCTTTATTATATGGAAATATAACGAAAAAACTTTGTTTAAAAAATTAATTGACGAATAATATTATTTGTGTTAATATATTTTTACGCAAAAATATCAAAACTGTGTTTTCTTGTAAGGCCGAAAAAGCTTCTCTTCTCCTTCTTCCTTATTTTGAATTTATAATTAAATAAGAATCTTCTTTCTCATTTCGAAATCTTCATCGTTTTCAAAATATTTAGAACACAGGAATCAAGAAACGCAGTTTCGTCCTCACATCTTTATTGGGCTGCAATTTGAAAAAATTGCAGACTTATAAATTCCCACTGTCGTCCGTCCGTCTGTCTTTCCTTAATCTCGAGAACGGAATTAGATGAAATCTGAGACCAGAAATGGAAACTTTAGGGAAAGGAAGTTCAAATTAACTGTACAGAAACTTCCGAGTGCGAACAAGAAGTCGTGTTATTTCAATTTAAAACTTCCACTGAAAGCAATTAATAGATGACCGGCACGACTCTATTGTTAACAGGAAAAGTATAATGTTCAGGGCCAAGCCACTACTAATAATTTGAGGTAGAGAGGCTATATTTTAAATCAGGGCTTCTTAAACTTTTTATATTCACGACCCATTTATGATTGTGATTTTTTTTCGCGACCCAAAAAAACACAAAATAAAGATATACCAGGGCTGTGGAGTTGGAGTCGGAGTCGTCAAAAAATCCGCCGAATCCGACTCCTTTTTACTTCCCAACTTGTCATGTATATACAGTGGTACCTCAGGATACGAAATTAATCCGTTCCGAAACTGAGATCGTATCATGAAAATGTCGTAAGGTGGATCATCTTTTCCCATACGATTACATGTAAAACCAAATAATTCGTTCCAACGCGAAAAACATACTCAAATTAAAGCC